GACCACCTTAAGCTAAGATTCAGTGGTCCTCATTGCACAAACTAAACAACAACACACATCCCATCCAATCCATTGCATTTCTTTCACTTATTATTTTAAGGATAAAGATCAACATTTATAGTTTTTTCAAATATTGTAGGATAAAAATAATATTAACCTTTCGGATACGATGTTGGAGATCATAATCAAAAATTTATTTACACTTTTTTTTTAAATCTTTTAATGTTATTTTCAATTTTCGTTGTACAATTTTCTTCAATCCTTAATATTTTAACTCTAGATTGTGTAATGGATATTTGTCAAAGACATTTTGATGTTTAAATCAGTAATATGATTGATTGATTAATAAATTAACTTTTAATTAGGTCGACCTAATCACAGATCAAAAGCTGATAAGTATATTTTATCTATAAGTAGGTTTAATTTATGACATGATCAGTTATCGAGTGTTTGACCGATTGCTCATTACTTAATGAAGTCGTCTAATCTATAAAGGATAAGAAGAGAGGAAAACATTGATTTTCAGTCAACTAGTTTGCATATGAAAACGTTAACTGTCCAGTAAATTAAATACCAGTGATATGATACAATTAATTTTTTTATAAATTAAAATTTAATTATTGTTGTATCTTTTAATTAATTAAATTAAAAGATGTACTCTAATCATCTTCCAAACAAAAGTTACAAAAGTTCACATTATTAGTAAAAAATATACCGTTCAATTTTCACCACCGATAGTGTCAAAGTAATTATTATGCCAGTTTACATAATTGTTTGATAATTTTACGCCTTTAATCTATTGAAAGAGGTAAACTTCTTATCTGAATTCAAGTAAAGTTAGTCTTTGTCTTTAAACTATAAAATATTCTAATGTCACTACAAAATTAATTACTACACTTTACTTTTAAGCTGCTAAATCAAGGCTATAAGTAAATGAATTTAAAATTTATAAAGTTCAATTATTTTAAAGTGTTTAAAAGGATTAAATGTTGAATGATAATCATTATTTAGTTCTATTGATTATACACATAGAATAGGTATAGGTATATAACTAAATTATGAAAAGTGCAGCACGTAACTTTTAAATTATAATTTATCAATTTTTATTTAAAGCTCTAAAGAGTATATCNCGTTCAATTTTCACCACCGATAGTGTCAAAGTAATTATTATGCCAGTTTACATAATTGTTTGATAATTTTACGCCTTTAATCTATTGAAAGAGGTAAACTTCTTATCTGAATTCAAGTAAAGTTAGTCTTTGTCTTTAAACTATAAAATATTCTAATGTCACTACAAAATTAATTACTACACTTTACTTTTAAGCTGCTAAATCAAGGCTATAAGTAAATGAATTTAAAATTTATAAAGTTCAATTATTTTAAAGTGTTTAAAAGGATTAAATGTTGAATGATAATCATTATTTAGTTCTATTGATTATACACATAGAATAGGTATAGGTATATAACTAAATTATGAAAAGTGCAGCACGTAACTTTTAAATTATAATTTATCAATTTTTATTTAAAGCTCTAAAGAGTATATAATATACATTAAATTTTGTTGTTAATAAGTTTAATTGTCCATTTATTTTTTATAATAACGAAAGTTTTCTCTTTATTGTTTACTTGAAAATATTTTCTAAGTCATATGTGTGTGTACATTATTTTTAATTTGTACAAGAATTTCAAAGATACGATTATAGATAAGAGGTGTAGGAATTAAAATAACGCGATTGAGCATATAATAAAGTTAAAACGGAACCTTTTTTTAATTATATTAAACAAACTAATGATTAAATTTATTACTTTTCAGAAAAATATTTTTTTAACACTATTTGGCAACTCATTTTAAAAAAAGTTAACCTTTATATTTATAAAAAAAATGAAAAGTAAAATAGTAAATATTAAATATGTGCAAAATTTGTTAAGTGCCAAGAGAATAATACCTGCATTTTATAAGATGAGAATCATAATTTCATAGGGAAACACCGTCCTTTCGAAAATTGACAGAAAAATAATTATGGTATATTAAAAATTGAACATTTAGAAATGATTATTTTACTTTGTGCGTTAAAAGTCTCACTAGAAATAATATCAAATTATAATATATAAATCTCATTTTAAAAATTAATTTTATCTAATTGAGTTATTTTTAAAATCCACTTTCTTTCTTACCATAGTGACAGATTCACAGAAAATTGACATATTCTGACTAACTTAGTCGATTTTTTTTTGAAAGTACGATAACCAACTTCCTTTAATATTAAGCTGTATAAACAGTCATTATAATATTTGTATTTAAAACTGGGTATGGTAATTAATTCCTGTTATAGAAAATTGATGTGATGAGAAAAGATATAGATAGAAAGAAGATGATCCATATAGATAGAATACGTGACGATGAGAGAGGAGAGGGCCACAGCGATCTTCCTGGATGAAAGGGCTAGCTTGCTTGCAAAGGGGTCTAATGTACCAACATGTCGTTTGTCCTTCTCATACTTTGTTCTACATGTACGTCGGACACATCAAATTAAAGGCAATTTTTCTTCAATTTTTGAACTTTACATTGCATTTTCCATTTCATGCTTCCAAGAATCTCGTAAACTAGTTGCTTGTCTGGTTGTCAATGAAAAAGATATGGTTGTCAATGAAAAAGATAGATGTAAAAACAAGACAAAAACACTATGACAACGAGCTAATTGAGGATTGATAATAGACTGTCATAACAGTGAGAAGAATTTGAGCCTAAGTCCAGTGTCAAAAGTTGGAACTTAAATTCCTGAGAGTGTTTCAACCAAAAATAACATGTTATATTATTAAAAAATATTCTTTGAGTTACCTAAATTTTTTTATATTTATTTAATATTATATTTATTTATTTTTTAATCTATTTTTCTTGAAAAAATATATAATTTTATATTTTTATGATCATTTTATGTTTATATTCTATGTTAAATGAATCTAAAAATATATGATGATACTGTTAATCTATATTATTATCAGTGTAAAGGAAACTATGAGGGTTTGTAAGGAAAAGAATTATACTGTGTTATTGCTTCTGTATGATGCAAGAGGAAGACTCAGTTCACAAGCATAACATCAAACCTCTGTTTCTCTTTTATTTTAGCACATGCAGTCATACAAAGGCCCAATTTTATTAGGGTGATGCCTGAAAGTATCTTCCTGCACCCTATCAAATTTCTTGGTGCACCCCATCAAAAGCTTCAGGAAAATTATTTCTGTAATAAAAGTGGAATGATTGTCTGTCGGAAAGTAAAAAAAATTCGGATTTGTTTTAATGTGTTCCGGAAAATGAATTCCGGAATGTCAGGGTGTTGGGACATGGTGCAGGAAGTAATATTCAAGTATGTATAACTGTATCTACCATTGTGAAACATAATCCAACATTTTCAAGACAAAACTCCAACAACCAGGGGTTAAATGGTTTAAAACACGATGTAGTAGTGTTTCGCGAGGAAACCTACCTCAGAAAAGTTCAAAATCTAATGCAAAAGTAAGTTTCATAGCTAAAAGGACATTTAATTACAAGGAAAGAAGCCATTTCAAAACCCTGTTACATGGCCCTATGATTCCATGTTTATGCTGGTACTAGGGATGAATAGAAATGTTTCTTTAAAGAGATTTTATGGAGTTCACAGAGCCTTCACGCCATCTTTCATCTCAGCAGCAATGGGGAACAGAATGAAACTGAAGCTAGAGTATGATTGCGGTTGCTGTCACTTGTAATTTTACACGGAGGAGCATTGGACATTTTACATTATACATATCACATTATTTCTGCTCTGTGATTTTTTCATTCTGCAAATACTTCAACACTCCATATGCAACTGTTCCGGCCACAAACAAGAAAACTGTAGGGGTAAACGATGGATACAGATACTTTACAAAAAACTGGTCCCACTGTTGCGGTAGGAAGCCTGCAAGTAGAGATTAAAAATTCAGTCACCATATTTAGACTTAATTAGACACAAATTTCCAACTACAGAAAAATGACAGTTCCATGTTCCCTATACGTATGGTATCACATAAAACTTTATAGAAAGAGGTTTTCCATATTGCATTTGAATTACATATCCAACACTTGGGCATGACACTTTGGTCATTGGAAGTTCTCAATTTTGATTTCCATGATCAGTGTTTTTGAAAGGATTTGAACAAGATTAATAAACAGGCTACATGATTTGCTTAATGAGAAGCTGCACAATATTCTAAATTCTAATACAGATAAAACCATTGTCGTTATAAATATCTAAGTGCCACGATTGATTAACCAGAAGTGTTTGAAAAGTTAAGCCCTTCAAGCAATAGTCCCTGAATTCGATTTGATAGCTTGAATCTACTACAGGTTAGTGATAAAGAGTGAATAATAGATAAGTTTTATTTGAAGAGGGGTGTACCAGATGCTGCAAGACCAATGCCCTCAATGAAAATGACGATGCCAAAACCGAGCATTGCAAGAAGAAAAGCGCTCTCGTTCTTTCCCTCTTCCTTGGCCTTATCCTTTTGTTCCTCCGAAACAAAAGCGGGTTTTTCAAGCGGAGTTCGCCGAATTACGGAGGCCCTTTCTCTCTGCCCCTTCTGTTTCTGCTTCTGTTTCTTTTTACTGTTTGCAGCGGTAGCAGTGTCCGACAAGCCGAACCCCTTCGGAGCGGAATCATCGTCTGAGGATTCAGAAGAAGGTTTTTGGGATCTAACAGTGATTCTGAAGGTAGGTTTGATGAGAATGGGAGAGAAGACGAGGAAGGTGTGTTGAACAGAAGAGAGGAATCGCGTTTGCAGCAACATCTTCATGTGTGGCTGGAAATGTTTCTGATAATCTCACCCACATCCTCTATTTTTCTTCAAATTTACTACCACGTTCAAAAATTAACCCCTCACTTTAATTTTAGAAAAATATGGGGGGCTGCAGTTATTAATTGTTGGGGTGCACGAAGCAATATACTACAGTAAAGTTTGGATTTAACTATTTGGGCCTTGGGCCCTGAGATCATTTCAGTAGTTGAATCAGCTTCGCCTGCATTTCTTCTTGTGCCTTTTTCTCTTCCTTCTCGTTTTCCTTTTCTTCAACCTAAACGACCACGACGACTGCGTCTTCCTTTCTGTCTCAGCCATGGTATAGTAACCACGTTTCTCGATCCTATCCTCCTACACCTTCTGCCTTATTCCATTTCATTACTTCGTTTTTCCCCTCCTCGCATTTTATATTTAGATTAGATCGTTGTAGGGAATAATCGACCTTTTAATCATTCTCACTATTAACTCCAAAATTCACATTCTGTTACGCAAATTCTGTTAGTGTCTGTATTTTAATTTTAAAATGTTTGGACTACGATTCAGATAGTGTTGTCGTGATCTATAGTTTTTTAGTATTGTTGTTTCAGAGGTTTGGGGGAATGTGCAGTGTTGCTAATTGCTAGATAAATGAATGATTTCGAATTAATCTGACTCCATGTACTTGCTGTTTTCCGATTTGACTAGGTTCTTCTGCAGTTAGATCCGTTTCTTAATGAACTCACAAGCATGTTTGAGCGCAGCACCGAGAAGGGCTCCGTTTGGGTTACTCTTAAACGATGTTGGTGTTAATTGTTATTTTCTTGGTTAACTTGGGTTAAACTTCTGTGTTTAATGTGTCTGCCCGCTGATTTTGTTTCTCTCTCTTTCAGCTTCTTTGAAATCTAAGCTGCAAAGGGATAAACTGGGGACTGCTGGGGAAGCAATTGAGTATAGATGCCTTATACGTGCCACTGATGGGAAAAAGACAATATCTACTTCGGTACGTATGATTTCTAGAATTCAAAGCAGATTCAGTAAGAATTTTAAACACAATTTGGTATTAAAATGGTTCAAAAAACCTATGCTATACTGATTTATAAGGTTTTATTAAAGTGGTATTAACTTAAATACTGATTTAGGTCAAGATCACACTCCTATCACTTTCTTGTATCAGTTCTTTTGAAGATTATCCGTTCTCTTTTACTTTTAGATTGGACAATACAGTAGGATATGTTGTATCTGTGAGCGGGGGGTTTCTCTATTGTGGAACTTGTTTAATCCATTATAGTACAACTTGCTAGTGTGGAAAACTGTAGTTTGCTCAGTAGTCAAACGTTTTATACTAAATCCTGCTAGATTTTTTTGCTGTCGTTTATGTCGAGGTTACCCAATTGATATTCAAAGTATGATTGTTGAGTTATTTTTGAATCGTGTACTCGAAGTTTGTATCGAATTGTAAGTTTTAGATACGAAAGAAAAATTACGTGAAATATATATTATAGATGATATATAGTGTTCAACTCACATTTTAAACTAGAAATGGATAAAACAACTTAAGCAGAAGCCATTGAAAACAAAACAAGTGTTTTTTCAAATTCCTTTTCATTTTAATTTATGTTGACATGCTGTTTTTCCCCATGGGTTAGTGTACATGGAAAACATATGTATTGTTAAATCTAATTGGTGATAACAAATTGCATAGATTCACCCACGTATATATGAAGTCATTTGAGATTCATCTTAAGGTACGAATTGGTAGATAGCTAGAACGTATTGAATCGTGAATAGTAAGATTCTGAAAACCATGGTCATTGGTATAAAAGAAGTATGAGTCATTCAATATAGTTAGGATTTTATCTTATCTTCAACATTATTTTTATTTTATGGGGAAGGCCACAATTCAAACTTCAAAAAGGAAGCTTTATTTTCTTCTAAAATTTGGATTTAATTCTTATGTAAGTAAGGGAAAATATGAAATTATAGTAATTTGAGAAAAAAAGTCGATTGATTTGAAGGCGAGGTCCAATTCTTGTAATTTGTAACGCTCTAGCGATAGCTTAAGCTTATTCCAGGTTCGTCTCGTTTCTGGAATGAATTACCCTGTCTGCCTGCCCCAGCTGATTTTCCACATTGTTTAGGCCAAAATAGAGAAAATTATTTGGCATGTGATTAATGGAGTTTATTGGTATCAATAAAAGACATGAAAAGTGGACATCAGTAAAGTATTATATTTCATACACTATCAGGCATTTCAAGACTTGTCAACGTATTATAGATCTAGGCATGAAAAGTTAAAAGCAGTGAACCGGTGACCTTCAAATGGATATATGTGTGTTTGTGTGTTGTGTTGTAGAAATTTGAGTTCCCCTAGACCCTCCTGGTTATATATGCCTCCCCTTATTTTCATGTTCGTATAAATTGTTTCCATATTTAATATTTTATATTATTGGGTTTTTCATTGCTAAGGTTGGACCGAAGGATCACCAACGCTTTCAAGCTTCTTATGCAACTATATTGAAGGCCCACATGACTGCTCTAAAGAAGAGAGAAAGGAAAGACAAGAAGAAGCCTGCAGAGGCTGATAAAAGAGAAGGGAGTTCGAAGAGATCGAAGAAGTCTTAAATAATCTGCTGACCTTCTGTGCAAACTGAGTTTTCTGCTGACTCTGTTTTTGTTTTTCCCCAGATATTTTGTTGTTTTCGATATTAGAGTGAGGTGAAGAGGAAGGGGAAAAGAAGGGAAGGGAAAAGGATAAAAGGAGGAGAGACAAAGATTAGTGAATAATTCTTGCATTTAATCTTTACATAGATATTCATTTAGTGGCAATTTGTGAAAATTTTCTCAGTTCCCCAAGAGGTTATAAAGCGAATCTTTAGGATACTTTTCTCTTCTATTGCACGGTTCAACACATTCCGAGTTAATCTTCCTGTGGCAAATTCTTACTCAGTCATGGGGTTTCTTGTTCGAAAGTATATACTTAGTCGTTGCTAAAATCGAACGGCTTTTATTATTTTTGTTGTATATAAATCACTTCTGCATTTTTTTTTCAAACTTTACAGGGTAATTTTTGCAGTCGCGTCTTGCCCCTTTTATTCTATTTTCTAAAACCCAACTAAGTGTTGTTACATTAAGTTATTAACATGTCAATAACGCAGTGGATCCAGTCAACTTGTTCAATTTGGCTTGTGTATATATGCAAGAAGTTGAAACATTGAGTCTGAATTTAATGTTGTGCAGATACAAATTGATAATTCTTGTAACAAGGGAAAAAACAGAGCTTGCGCGGATCCACTTAACACAGTTATTGTTAAGTTTGGTTGTCCTAACTGCATGATAGATTGTGATTAGATAATTATGTTTATCGTTACCAAGTTGTGTATTGTCTATGACTTCCACCGTGAAGGAAGAAAGTATAGATACATTAAAATAATAATTATAGATACGTTAAAATAACAATTGTTATATACGTGTATGTCACACATTTACAGTGGTTTTAATATGTATTTTAGAATTTATATATTAAGATACCTATAAAAAACGGCCGCATTAGTAAGAGAAATGGTAACATTTTATCTAAAAAGTGACCAATGATTATTTTTATATATGGAAATTTGTTTTTGTATATGAAGTTTTATGCTTTAATTATTAAAACGGTGTTGAGAATTGGTTTTTGTAATTTTTTTATACAGCATGTTGTAACTGAAAATCAAATTTCATTGATGAAGTATGTAAAATTACCTTGAATTTGAAAAAATATAAAATTATTTTGTTAGTATAAAATAAAGTTTTTGGGATGGAAACGGTTAGGTAAATTGGAGAGGTCTTATTCCCTCCAACAAGAAACGCACAGATACCACGTAATATTGAACAAACATGGTTCGCGGGAAGCACGTTTGACATTGATATTCCTTGTTTATTCTTCAACGAACTGGGCTTAACTGAAAATCCCGTTTTGCTGTCATCTTCTGGTTCTGCTTTCCGTGAATTTCTCATATCATATTTTCCACACACCATTGATCCTTTCAATTCATCTTTTATTCATTCAAATCTCTCTCTACAGTCTCTCTCACACCACACAATCATACACTCACAATGCCATGAAGAATCCCAAACACATCATCCTCCATGTCGTCCAACCCTCCCCCGCCGCCGCACTCTTCGCACAAACCCGGTCAAGACCATCCTGCCCCTGGAAAACCGTCATCGCCAGCCGGAAGAGCTAAGCTCCTGAAGATCCCGCCCATTCCTATTCGACGGAGTAATTTAGGCAATGAAGAGGAGAAAGAAGAGGAAGATGAATGCTCTGAATCTTCTTCCATCTTGCTGGCGTCCTCTTTAGGGCTCAATAACATTCGAACGCGTTCTTCCGCGTCGCCTCTTCGCTATTCCTCCTCCGTTGGCGCTCCTTCCTTTCTCACACAGAATGCTGCTGTCACCATCAATGACGCCAGATTTAGACCAAGATTGAATTCCCATCCACAAAGAGACCACCTAGGTCTGCATCTCCTATTATATTGTTAAATCTGGCCTCAATTCCACTTTCATTTCCTATCTGGGACCGAAATGGTTCGTGATTATTTCCTGCTTGCTTTCGCTAATATAGTTGTTCTTTTAGGGGAAAAAGTTCATTTGAATCAATCCAGATCGCTCAGAGCTCATTCGCAACTCATTCCTGTGCTAGAGGTGATAGACATGATGTATTATTGTGCACGATAATATTTACTGAATTAGTGTTTTTCTTATTTAATTGTTTCCTTTTTATGATTGATAGTTGGAGAAATGTAGGTTGCTCAGGTTCATTGCATGTGTTTTGCACAGGGTCATCATGGAGCTTTCGCCAAAGAAATGCAATCCCCACGTTTTCAGGAAATCCTGCGACTTACAAGTGGACGCAAAAAGAGAAATCCTGATATCAAAAGCTTTTCCCATGAACTCAACTCCAAGGGAGTCAGACCATTTCCAATCTGGAAACATCGTGCCTTTGGCCACATGGAGGTACTCTCCCTTTAACTTGTTCAAGTTTCCTGTTCCTGTTCATTAATTTAAAATGAATAAAATTGTTCAATACTTGTTTCCCCCCAAAATAAAATATTGCAGGAAGTCATGGGGGCGATTAGAGCTAAGTTTGAGAAATTGAAGGAAGAAGTTGATTCTGACTTGGGTGGTTTCGCTGGAGATTTGGTGGGCATTCTTGAAAAAAACTTAGTGTGAGATCGTGAATGGAGAGAGAGGCTCGAGGATCTGTTGATTGTTGCTCAACAATGTGCAAAGATGTCTCCTACCCAGTTTTGGATCAAATGCGAATCTATAGTTCAAAATCTAGATGACAAACGTCAAGAATTGCCAGTGGGGATACTCAAGCAAGCTCATACACGTCTACTGTTTATTCTCACTCGTTGCACTCGATTAGTGCAATTTCAGAAGGAAAGCGGAATTGAACAAGACCACATTCTGGGTCTTCACCAACTCAGCGACCTTGGGGTCTATTCTGAGCAAATTTTGAAGGCTGCACAGCAAAATTCTAGTATTCCACCTGCTGGACACGAGACCGCTGACAAACAGTTAAAAATGTCACGTAGTAAAGAGAAAGACAAACCGATAACAACACAGGGTAAAGCTGACCAACAAGTAAGTGTGGCGATTGACAACCCGGAGGTTAGTACAACCAAGAGTGTTGAATCAACTTCTGGCAGCTATAGGATGTCTTCTTGGAGAAAGTTTCCAACTGCTGAGAAAAGGCGAAAAGATCAAGATGCTGCAGATACCCCATCCAAAGGTGAAATGGACCACTTGTTAATAAATGCTGAAAATTTGGATAATTCCTCTTGTCATCCTGAACATTCACAATCATCATCAAGAACGCGAAAGGTTTCTTGGGGATTCTGGGGAGATCACCATACTCTTACATACGGGGATTCAATGATATGCAGGATTTGTGAGGTTGAAATACCGATTGTACATGTGGAGGAGCATTCAAGAATATGCACAATTGCGGATAGATGTGATTTGAAAGGTTTAACTGTAAACGAACGGCTTGAAAGAGTTTCTGAAACCATTGAAAGGATAATGGAATTCTGGACACCAAAAAGCACACCCAAAAGCACTGATACTCCTGGAGAAAGCTTTGACCTTGCCGCTTCAAATGTGCTTGAAGAGTTCAATGATTTATCTCTAGAGAGAAATAACCTGACACTTAGATGCTCTGAAGACATGCTCGACTCTACAGATCTTGACAATACTTTTCTCATGGACGATCTGAACCTTTCACCCAGAACATCATGCGATGCTCGCATCTGTGTAAAACCTGATCACGGAACAAAGGTATCTTCAGCTGGGAGCTTGACACCGAGATCACCATTGATAACACCACGAACCACTCAGGTGGAATTGTTACTAAGTGGACGGAGAACATTGTCTGAACTTGAAAGTTGTGAACAGGTATACACTTACCAGTGTTGTAATTCTTCATTTATATTTTTGCACAGGAAATATTAAATTGGATGAAAACGTACTATCAATGTGTATAGTCTATGAAGTCTTCTGTCATAAGGATAAGGAACCTTAATATCTTCATTAATATTCTAATTATATGATTTTTTATTTTTTAATTTATATCAATATATATTATATTATTAAAATAAAGTTGTTAAGTGAGTTTTTTTACAATGGTGTGAAAAGTATAATTTTTCTATTTTACTCATTTATTTTTGGAAATTTTATATTCAAATGACAGATAAGCAAGCTAGTTGAAATAGCCCGTGCTGTCGCAAATGTGAACAACTGTGACTACAGTGCTCTGGAGTATATGCTTGATCGCTTAGAAGACCTGAAATATGCCATTCAAGACAGAAAAGTGGATGCCCTTATTGTGGAGACTTTTGGACGACGAATAGAGAAACTTTTGCAGTGAGCACCTGTGACTTTTTTATTTGATCTACGACAGACACTTATTTTTTTATTCTATTTCGGAAGTTTCTGTAAGATTTTCTAGAGCCACTGTTTTGCTCTAGCATTTCTAATTTATTTTCTGGAACTGGCATGGTGCTTAAACGTAACCTTGAATTTGCTACTTCATTTTGCAGGGAGAAATATATATCCCTTTGCGGGCAGATAGAAGATGAAAAGGTGGACTCATCAACTAGCGTAGCTGATGAGGAGAGTTCGGTGGAAGATGATGCAGTTCGTAGCCTTCGTGCTAGCCCTATTAATACTTGTTCCAAGGACCGAACCTCTATTGAAGACTTTGAAATAATAAAACCCATAAGTAGGGGTGCATTTGGACGCGTTTTTCTTACCCGAAAAAGAGCAACCGGTGATTTATTTGCTATAAAGGTTTGTTTCCTTATCAAATATAAAACCATTTCTTTGCAGAAAGTTAAGAGAAAATTGAGATGAATAGATTAATGAGTTCCGTTGTTAAACGGTACATAGTAGCATTTATTCTTAGGCGGGCAACTAGATTATGATTTAAGAGATTTTTCCTTTTATAAAACAAGTCCTAGTATTGAATCAAAACTTATAAATGATACAAATTGTGATATTTAATTAGGATAATCAATACATTTTTAATATAGTTGTCCAAATTTGATCATGGTCAACATTTACCTACCTGATCTTATAAATGTGTTAGTTATTCAACTTAACATGTAATTTGAAAAATATTAGTATGATCTTATCCATCACAAGTTGGTAAACTATACAGATCAATATACTTAAAGCTTAATACATGAAACTTTTATATTTAAATGTAATACTTTTATATCCATCACAAGCTTAATACAGATCAATATACTTAAATGTAAAACTTTTATATTTAACAAAGCATAATACATGAAAATCAAGACATCGTAGAATGTTATTTCAAGGGATGTGCATATCTC